TATTCTGTAATTTTTTTATTGGCCCATATTCTTTTAGCCCGACATTCAATTCCTCTTGCTGTCAATCTCTCTAAGGCATTTAAATGTATACTCGTATGTGTCTGCAGCAGATCATTTTCACATTAACGATGTTTTTACTTTTATATTTTCCTTAGTTTGAATATATAGTCTTGTTACTTGACCTAAATTGGTTGAAAAGGTTTTTCTGTTCTTAGTAGGTCACTCATAATATATAGGAGTATAATTAAATAGTTATTTTTTGTTTCATTACATGTTTATTATGCTACAATTCTCATCTATCTATTTTTTGAGACCTGATGTTTATTCGTGAGACTGGCCTGATCATTTAGAATTTAGTTTTTTCAGAAATATTCTTAATTTGTAAAATATATTTACTAAATAATTCGATATTATTATATGGAAAGGTATTTTACCACATAATTTTATAATTGTAATATTACCCCTGCCCCAAATTGTTTTACAAAGTCAACATTTTTTTGGGCAAATTGTAATGTTAAAGTTAAATTTTCTCTATCGAAAATCAATTCAATTTTAATAATTAAAATTTACATATTCCAAAACTACTTTAAAAATATCTATAAAGTTGCAAAATCTAAATTAAAATTTAATTAAATATTGATCCTAATAAAGTGAATAAAATCAATTCGTTTGATAAAAAACAACTTTACAACTCAATTTGGGACGGAGGGAGTACTGATTATAAGACAAATAAAGAACATATCAGTGAATAATTTGTACTTTGCACTATCTACTACTATGCATCAGATGTATCATAAGACCATTCCGTGCATGAGATTTGAAGAAATCTTATTTTCGACATGCCATAAACATTAAGTGTGTACCGGTAAATTTACGAATATATATCTATCTCAAACTGCCTTTGATATCTTCTTTTTTGCAGGGTACTTCTATTGTTGGTCGTGGACAATCAAAGCTTCAAACCCCACATATACAGGAATTATTCATCTCATTGATAAACCAATGAAATCAAGGTGATTGTAAAAGTATCCAAAACATTTTGTATTTGAATAAACCAATGAAAGTAATTAAGTAACCAAAATAATGTAGTGCGGTCCTCTCAAAAACAAAAAGTAGTGATATGATGAGTTGCACTTAAATAATACGGAGTAATTGTTTTATTGGGTGAAAGCAGTTAAATAAATAATTTGGAAAGTGGAAACTACGTGATGGTTAACTGGAAGCACCCGTAAATGATTACATGTTGAGTTGCATCCGCTGGAAGTTATTGAACAATCCTAACGTTTAGGCACTAACTTATGTCTTGGTTTCCCTTTTTATATTAGTATAGATTAGTGAAGGTGATTATTACCTGATCCCATCTTGCATAAATGTGGATATTCATTTTGCCTCAATTCATTTTGCCTAAACAATACATTTTGCCTGATCCCATCTACACGTATTAAACTGTTTATTCTTCTAATGAAGACTAAACAATACATTTTGCCTCAATTCATTCTGCCGTTGTTGAAGACCAAGTTTCTTGTGCAAAACGCTGTAAAGTGATGAATTTGAGTTGTAGTAGTCCCCTTCTTATAGGACTAACACCGAAAGCTCTTTCCATATATAAGAATACTAACAGTCACTTGAAAGAGTGTGAAATATTCATTGTCTTTAATGTGCTGCCGCCCAAATTGTAAAGTTATTTGTATTAATCTATGTAGTAGTTATTATCTAGACAGTATTTATTTAAAGTGATGTCTTGTCTCTTTGGAAACCGCAATGTTGGCTCTATAGAAGACTACAGCTTTCTCATTAAATCTTTCTCGTTAATCACCCTTGTTTTGCAGCAATTATTTGGCCAAATTGCTACAGTATTCCCGCCCAAATTCTTTCCCCACTTTTCTGTTTTTTATATATAAATATATAATATATAGATAAAAGTGGTTAAAATCAAATACAAGACATTTTATAATTTAGGATAACAATGTCGCTAACATGACATATGCCTATATGTTATTTGTAACAATCATATACTAGACAAATACATGATTTTAATAAACATGATCAATGCAAGTGTAACTATATTAATAACTTTTAATGACTGATAGTATTCATCTTTACATCATAATATTATGATATTATGATATTATACATTTATACTCACAATAATAGTAATAGTTACATTTGTGTTTGTGAAATTTATTTCAGTGACATTTTAAGAAATAAGTTAACATTTGCGTAGAATTCAGAACATGCTTAATTTATTTTTTGGTGATAAACTAGCCTTCTCATTAAAAGAGTAAATCGTTCAATAGCTGGTTGACAACACGATCGCGAATAGAATCCTGGTTAAAACTAAGACCCGTGTTGAGTTTAATCCAACACGATATAGTAAATATATGTATAAATGTGTATGAACAAGCTCTTTTTACGTGGAAACCCGAAAGGGAGAAAACCACGGGACTTTTTAGGCTAATGTCCAAGCCCTCTCATTCTCATTAATCTCTTCTCACCATTACATAGTACATGTATTTGAAGCTCTCATTAATGGAGGATAAAGCTAGCTAATCTATTCTAGAGAGAAGGAGGAGAAATGGGGAAGAAGAGACCAACCCATAACATAGAGGGAAAGCCTTATATTTATAGGGAAAATGGGGTAGGGGATAAGTCTAACCTAATGGGCCGGATGGGCCGAAATGGGCCCAAAGGCCGAAACATGCCTAAAAGGCTAAACGGGCCTCACTGATTGGGCTCCGTACTACGTAAAGTCTTGGGCTCCTGAACAGTAACATACCGGGATAATATATCTCAACAACCCGACTGAAAAACGTTCGCCCTTGCAAGAGCATGGGCACGATTAGCAGATTTACCACAAAAGGAAAGAGAAAAAAGAGGGTTCTCTTCTAAATGAAGTTAATATCATCAATTCATAAATCAAGGTAGGATAAACCGCCTTGATGTCACACTGCTTGAACAACCGTCATAGCATCTGTCTCAAACAATCGGAAATAGAATCCTGGTTAAAACTAAGACCCGACTGAAAAACGCTCGCCCTTGCAAGAGCATGGGCACGATTAGCAGATCTACCACAAAAGGAAAGAGAAAAGAGATGGATCTCTTCAAAAAAAGCCTAATATCATCAATTCATAAATCAAGGTAGGATAAACCGCCTGATGTCACACTGCTTGAGCATCCGTCTCAAACTCCACGTGACTCCATCCTGCCCGCTTTGCCCAAACAATGGCCTCCCTGAGCCCTGCAGCCTCTGTTTCTTCAGGTGACCAATCTCTAACCTTGGCAGGGCCGGCCCTAGGCATGTATACCCAGTGCGACCGCACAGGGCCTGAAATGTTGGAGGGCCCAAAAAAGCTATTACTGTTACACAGCCCAAATTCCACCAGTTCATCCTAATCTCCCATTCTCGCCATTCGGGGTTCGCCCAACTTGAAACCTGCACAGCTTGGAACGGCCGAACGTCAAGTCACGAAGGACGAAGTCATGCTGCTCTGGGGACTGGAACGACGAAGCCACAATTCCCATGAAGGAGCGAGGACGGAAGGAGGACGAACAACGAGTCGATCGTCTGAGCATCGGCCTCTTCCACCCAGCAATAGTGCAAACAGGGTCGGGGCTAGAAAATTGTGTGAGGGGGGTCGGATTTTAATTATATACAATATCAAAATAATGGATAATTATTATACAATACTTGAGTTAAATGTTTCATATGTAGCTGAGATAAATGATAGTTTAATGAACATTTTTCGGTTAATGTTCACACACCTAATGACTGAATAAAGTGTTTTATTTTTAAATTTAAGAATATAATCAACATCACACATCAAATTTGGCTTATTTCAAGTTATGATGGTGCTGATTTTTCTAGAAGTCATAACTTTTTACTCGTAATGAGTTACGGGACCCGTAATATATCAAATCGAATGTATTTCAGAACTCTACATTTTTGAACTGTCAGCGGGGTCGGCTGACCACCCTGACCCCCCCTTGGCTGCACCCCTGCGCAAGCCCGCCACTCGCCCACCACGCCCCGCCTCCCGTCCCTCCACAGTCCGGTACACCAGTCACTCAGTCAATTCACTAATTTTTCAGCTTTTATGATTTGTTTTGTTGCTAATTAGTGTAAATTGTTGAATTGTTGATTTGTGTGTTGAATTGTTGATTTCATGTTTGTTGAATTGTTGCATTGTTGATTAACAATTAAATAGTCAATTGGATCAATTTTACATGTGTAAATGTATGTATTTAACAATTAAAATTTAAGAAATTGGTATAAGTGTATATATATTATTAGGTAACTTCAAGTTCATAATTTATAATTACTTTTGTTGAAACTGGATAAAAAAGACCCAAATTTTGTTATTGCACAGGGCCTCCATATTCTCAGAACCGGCCCTGAACCTTGGAACTGCTAATAGCCCCAAGAAGCTGCCCTTGAGCATCCCAAGCAATGCATCCCCACGAGCGTATTCCATCTGTCTCCTTCACCGCCGCATTCACTTTCACTTTAATTTTGCCACTACTCGAGCACTGCCAGCCCTCCTGCGATGCGTCCTACTGCCTTGTGCAGAGCTGGAAGGACAAAACTACTGTGACTATATGATTATATATTATTAATCATATACTCCCTCCGTTCTTTTTTAAATGCAACATTGGACTATTTCCACTATTCATGTGTTCTACCTTGACTTTATTTTATTTATTAATGTATTATAAATTAATTTTTTAAAAAAAATATTATTAAATTCTTCTCATTTCAAATTTTCAAAATCTAATTTTTTGATTTTTTTTACTAATAAGGAATGAAAAACATTAATGGTCAAATTTGTGCGTTGGCAAACGTGAAAAGTGGACCGTTGCATTTAAAAAAGAACAGAGGAAGTAATTAAATAACTAATTAAAAAGGAGGTTTTCAATTAAAACCGCAATTGCAAAAAAATAGGAAAATGTTAAAGTTTTATCCGATGAGCGAAGTTCGTGAGTCCTAGGGCTGCCGCCGCTGGGTTTCTTTCCGGATTCTATCGTTTTCGATCGAAGTTCGGCTTTTATTTTTGTTCTTGTCCTTGTTTTCATACATCGGTTTTTCTAAGGATTACCTCAGGCTCAGCTCGGCCGCTGCGTGGAGATGGAAGATATTGTTAACAACTATAGGAAGATGGCTATTGGGGAGGCAGATAACGAACTCAATTTTGATACAGAGGAAGCCGGTGATGAGGAAGTGATCGAAGATCAGATTGGCTTCCTGGTGGTTGGGACGGTGATCTCCGATCGGAAGGTTAATTTTGAGGCGTTTCAGGATGCGATGACTTCAGCCTGGCGTCCTGGTAAGGGGATATCAATCAAAGAAATCGATGAAAAAAGGTATGTCTTTACTTTTAATCATGTTTTAGATATGAACCGTGTGCTGGAAGATGGACCTTAGGTTTTTGAGAGAGATTTAGTGTTGTTGAAAACAGATCAGCCAGATGACATCCCTGAAAAACTGATTTTATTTGAGGCAGATTTTTGGGTTCAAGTGCATAATGTTCCTCAAAAATTTAGAAATCTGAATTCTGCTAAGCGAATTGGGAACTTTATTGGCTCTTTTATAAAGTTTGATGAAAACAGTTATGGAGATGAAAAGAAATCTTTCTTGAGAATCAGAATTTGTATGGATGTTAGGAAGCCCCTGAAAAAGGCACTTCTCTGACGAAGGAAGGAAAGGGACATTGGGTTGATTTCAAGTATGAGAAACTACCCAATTTCTGTTTCATATGTGGGGTGATTGGGCATTCGGATAAGTTTTGCTCGTTACGATATGAGGAAGGAATTATTATTGAAAAATCTTTTGGAGTTGAGCTTAGGGCAAGAGGAGGTGCAAAGACTAGCCTAGCTATCCCTAATAAGTGGCTTGTACAAGATTATGTAAGCTTCAGGGGCGCCGGACAGCAGAAGAAGACTAAACTCAAAGAGGAGCTATCGGCTGAGACAGGGGCTAGTGCATCAAACCAAGGAGCGGGTGATATGGAAGGAGAACCAGGAGAGACTAAGCGCGGGAGAATATGGGAGGACAAACTTAAAGAGAATTCAGGGGATGAAGACATGGCGCTTGATGGGCCAACAAATGGGGAGGCGGCGGGTCAGACCTCCTAGACCCGCCGATTTTGCAGTGGATGGTTTCGATTAAGATTTCGAGTGCTGGAGTTTATTTCTTTCTCTGTCTTAGGCTTTATTTCCACGGATTGTCTGTTTTGTTTTGTTTTTATTCTTTTGCTTAGAATGCTTACTGTGAAACTCTTGCATTAGGTTTGGAGGTTGAAAGGTCTGCGGTAGGCGTCGTTAGCTTTAATTTGCCCAAATTCGGTCTAGCGAGTTATATTGCTTTGTTTAAGGTGATTAACTCAGAATCTCGGCCATGGGCGGATGGTTACATGCGGCCCTTTCATGTTCTTGTACTCCTGCTGATTGCTATTTTAGTGATATAAGCATCTTACGATAAAAAAAATTAAAACCCCAATTGCGGTCCCAAATTTTGGGAAAATCGAATGGGACTTTTAAACCTGCATTTCTAAATTGGAAGTAATATGCGATTCTGATTAGAAACCGACGGTGAACAAGTCTAGGTGAAATATATTGTCATGTGAACAATCACGTTGATAGGAGTTTATATTTAAATCATTAATCATGTAGTATAAAATGCAAGAAAGAGATTAAAGACTTCTGAAGAGAAGTACATTTGCAAAACTATCATAAAAAAAACTATCATGCATGTCTCGAACAATCAATGTAGGACCAATCATTAACTTCATATTTACGATTTGGGCAAATTGCTTAAAAGCAAGCCAAATTTGTTGGTCAAATGAAAGGTATACCGCTGAAACTAGAAAGTAGAAACAATGATATTATAAACATTTAAAAGATCAAGTAAATCAGTCTCTATATTCTAAATCAAATACTATCTATTTAGGTTTCAATTGTGGTTTAGTTTTAGTTACTTAGACTAAAAGGTAATATAAGTATCGCATATTTATTCTAGAGAGAGCTAAACAACTCAATTTTATGGAGACGTGCATACAAAATTAAACAAGAAAACAAGGAGTATCATCATCATCTATGCACAGAAGTTTTTCGTGGTCAACCATAATTTTGAGCTTTAATTTATTTCACACAAAGAAGTAACTTTAATTTATTTATAAAACAAGTGTATGTTTTCCGCTTCTCCAATAAATTGTAATTAACTTAAGTTAACAAATAGCAACTCGGATGGTTTCCTTCCTGTCAAATTGCTATTAGCCTAATGGAAGGAATGAATAATGGGTGGGTGTAAAAAATATGTGATCATGATCATTACCCCACTGTGTGTGTCATCAGCATTATATTACTTTTTTTAGCTTTGTGTTAAACCACAAAACCTTAAAAGTTCTTATAGGTAGGGTACTAGTAGGGTCCAAGGAACATCCTACAGATTTATTATCACATTACTTATATTATTTCATGATATATTGTTTATCAATTACTTATGCTCATGCCCGAATACCTCAGGGAGGCCAATCTGTATACCAGTCCAATTGCAGCTCAACTACACGACATACCCGCATGGAATGCGCCGCTTGGGTCGATCACCTCACTTGGGCTTCTCTGTTTGGTCCGTCAACTATCCAAGAAAGAACTCCCCCAAGCAATTGGCAGAAAATCTATAATTCGTGGGGAGCGAATTTGATGCATCGGGGATACCGAGGAATTTATGGTTGGGGGCTATCAACTGGAATTTATGCACCTTGTAGTATAAATATCATCATTTATTTCATTGTAAAGAGTTGACAAACTTCTTTCTAGATCTTCAGTAATGTCAGCTTGAGCTAGAAGGTTAGAGCTCGGGCTCAGCATAGGTGTTGTAATTGTTCTAATTACTTTTTTTCGTAATCGTTCTAAGTACTTAATAGGACTCGATCCACTTTACATCTCATTTTCTTGCTATTTTCCCCTCATCCTTTCCTTATACACTCACTAACATTAAAAAGAATCCTTTGAAATTGAAGCATCCTTTGATTGTGTTAGGTTTTCGACCGTGAGGACTTAACCTAGGCATGAAGCTGGTTCGGACCTAGCCGATCCTGATTCTAGATAATTGAAGCACGATATTGACCTGATTTGGTCAGGTACTGGTCCGGGCCCAAACAGTACCGGTCCTGGATCGATCCCAGGTCGGGGGCCCCCTCTGACTTAAAAAAATTAAAATATATCAATTAGGACTAGGCACGGGTCGGTCCCGGATCGGGCCGCTTGGGCCTAGTCCATCCCTAACTTAACTTCAACAACTTTCATTATTTGAATTTCAAGTGTTACTTGCTTCAATTTTAATAATATACTAACCCCATTATATTTTTGGATGGAATGTAAATGTATAAAATATCCTGAAAAAGTTAACATAGTACAATGTGTCACAAAAACCAGAGAAATCTATCTAAGCTAGTCTAAAGACTCTAAACTTAAAAATAGGCACAAGACAGGCCTCGATCATACATCGACAAAAAGTTCACACTCCAAAATCCACCTTCAGCCGTACCTCTCCGAAGTAGCCCGAGCTTTTTATCAGCTGCGGCGCCGCGCCCAGAACTAATCACATTAAGCATCCCAAACTTTTTCTCAGCCGCGCCCAGAACTAATCGCATTATCTTATACGCCTAATATAGTAATATGTTATGTCATACACTTCTAGGAGTAATTAGAGTGATATTGTACAACTAGGGGTGGACTCAAGTCGAGCCGCCCAGCCAGGTACTGTTTGGGCCCAGCCCGGACCGGTTGGCCGGTCTTCAGGCCGATTCGGGCTAGGGATGGCCTTGGGCCGGTTCGGGCCCGGTTCGGGCCTAGGCCCGGCCGGGCCTCGGTTCAGAAAAATGAGGCCCGAGCCCGAACCGGTGGTGGGCGGTTCCGGGCCGGGCCACCCAGATTTTTAATTTTTTTTTCTTCTTCTCTTATTTAACCCCCTCCCCCTCCACCCCAAACCACCCCAAACCACCTCAAATGGCCCAAAATACCTAATCCAACCCAAAACTTTAAAAAATTTCAAAAAAAAAAAATTAAATTTCGGCCCGAACCGGCCGGGCCGGTTCACCAAAACATAGGCCCGAGCCCGAACCGCCCAAAGGCCGGGCCGATTCGACCCGAACCGTTGGGCCCACCGGTTCCCGGGCCGGGCCGGGCTCAACAGTAACCGGGCCGGGCCGGTTCCGGGTCAGGCCGCCCGGCCCGAGTCCATCCCTAGTTCGGGCCTAACGAACCGCTCAATTCCCGGGGCGGGCGCGGGCCTCCTAAAAGTGGAACCGGCCGGTCCGGGCCCGGTCCGGGCCCGGTTCGGGCCAATTTTTTTTTTTTAATTTTTTTTATTTCTACCGGGTTGGGCTGGGTGTTTTGGGGGGGTTTGGGGGTGGGGGTGAGGGGGGGTCGGGGTTAATTACAAAAGCAAAAGCAAAAGAAAAAAAATAACATTGAACCAGAACCGGGCCGGTTCCGGTTCTCCGTTGCCACTTGCCAAAGAAAAAGCCCGGCCGGGCCCAGGCCCGAACCGGAACCGGCCCGGTATAACTCTTATAATTGCACTAATATTATAACAGTGAGTAGGGATTTTTTCTAATTCATGTTAACACTAATGTAAAACCATTGAGGTTGATTATGATATGATGTTATTGTAACATCATGAAAATAGTACACAGCTTTTATGAAACTGCAAACAATTTTCTTTTAACACAATTTTTTCTATTTAATTTTTTAAGTGCACACTATTTCAATGTAAAATTTAAAGAATAAAATGAGACCACCGTAGACCAAGGATCGACCCAAAAGGGGGCAGGCTAACCAGGAGTCCAGGACCGGCCAATAAGAGTCACCCTGTTGTTACTGTGGACCGGCTGATCGACCACAATGAGTCAATGACGGCACAGTACCAGTATTAAAGTTGCAGGGAGATTATTTCACACTGATGTTTGCACTCTTTCCATCTTAGGATGACTTGTGTTGCAGATTCATTACATATGCATTGTTGACTTCTAAAATTTGTAATAGTTACTCCTTAATGCTAAAGATGTACAAGAATCACCTCATTCAATAAAGGAGTGGGACTTGGCTTTTTTTGAAATACAAAATGGCACTAGCATCTCCAAAGCATGATACCTACTTAAACCACAACTGCGATGAACATATATTCCACTCCGTTCCCTACCTAAGCAAATACTACACCTAGGAGTACATTGGCTCATCCATTACCATGCTCCTGGCTCGGCCTTAGAGGCTTAGAGACTGAAGCACTCTCCTTCAGCAAAGCATCTAACTTAAGTTCCAATTTTAGCGTGAAGATAAAATTGTTAAATAGAAGAATATATGGTACAGCCAACAACAAAAGATTAAAAAATACATAAGATTTGCACCAATATGAATATTATGTGAAAATCTGCTGAATAACCGTCTCTGCATTTCCATCGTACTGTGCAAGGAGATGAATTGCATCTGCTCTTGGCAGTGCTAGAAATTCCTGCAAAGGTTGTGTTACTGTGTCAGCAAGTCTGAACTGGAACTTCTCAACTAGGCCAATACACATGTATGCTCGTCACAAGCAAACCATAAAAACACATACACAGTTAAAAGAGCACATAACTCAAACTGATTTTTAGCAAAACGTGAGATCGGATGTCTTTATCCAGTTAATATCCAATTTATAAGCATTGCTAGTCTACTATCCAAGTTGGTCCATCATTTGTTTCCTGCCTTGAACATACAGGTATGCTTTACAACGTATCTGGTTCACTAGTTGTAACAAAAAAAAATCTTAAACAAAGACACTAGGTGGGAACAAAGAAGGAAGGCTGTAAACACCCTTTTCAATTAGAGTAATTAATTGATTTAAATTCAATAAACTGTGTCTTGAACAGAAAAGGCAATTACAAGTCACTATTACAATCAGTTTATAGTAAGCACTTCATATAAGACAAAACTGAACCTGTTCCCCAATGTTTTGGAAAAAATCATCTAAACAGTTTAGGAAGACTCACCATAACTTTTAGTATCGCTGTTTCATCACATTCCATATCCTTGGTAGATGATTGTATAGGGCTGCTACCATCTTCCTGCATCCTGTTAGTAGAGGACGCAGTAAATGGAGATGACCCATGAGTCGCCAAGTCAACATCTGACTTAGGATTTGCAGTTATGAGCAAGTGGTCGCTGAGATCTTTAAGTGAATCAATCTTCAAAAGACCTTCAAACCGATCTTTACACATTTGGAGTTTGAACCACTCCTTGTGTGTATAGAGTGTTGCTTTCAGAATCTTCATAAGCTGAGGTTGTTCAATACCAAGCCTCTTTCCAGTAGCGACCTTTATAGAATCAGAAAATCAGTGATAGTAAATGTCCCAAAGTACTACACCACTCTTGTATAAATTAAATATCGCTGAGTATTAAAATTGAAATAAACAATTCCTTCATTATCCCATTGGTATCGCTTATTTAATCATCTACCATCCTACTGACTCTTGATCCAGTCAAACCATGATGTGTCTATAGTTACGGCGTCACCATGTGTCGCCACGTCGACGACATGGCGTCGGTCATGACGCCATGTCTCGTTCATCGCCAGCATCCCGCTCGTTGCCGTCAGTCGTCAGCATCCAGAGCATCTCATTTCTTTTTATTTTTCCGCCTTCTCAGTTCTTTTTGTTTACTACAGGGTTCTTTTATTTTACAGGAGGGATTTGCAGTTTTTTTGTTTCCTGCAGCTTTTTTATGGATATTTCTGAATTTAGTTTTATATTCAATATAATTTTATAACTACGTGAATTTAATTTTCTGTATTTTATAAAAAGTACTATCGTATATTAGTTAGTTATTTCATAAATTTTCCTTTTCAGTCATATCTAGAAAGAAATCATATTATGATGTCTTAATTGGGGAACAATTGTGTAAGAGGAAGAAAAAAGAAAATAAAACACAATAAATTCCATCATTCCACCATTTATTCCATTTAAAACAAATTTAAACTTTAATTTTGATTTATTTTCTTAAAACAAATTAGTTTTCTATTCTTTGTATTAGTCATTAATAATTACTATTAGTAATTGATAAGTCTTTTGTCTTATGACTAGTTAGTTATGACCTTATGGATTATGTTGTTTCTATGATTAGGGATGTTTTTACTTGGACTGTAATTTGTCCCAGAGTAGACCGGACTAGACCAGACCATACTTGGGTAGTTACAAAAATACAAAGAAACCAGACCAGACCAGCTGCAAATTACAGTCCAAGTAAAAACATCCTAGATGTTGTACTCCTTCAATTGTGATGTCTAATTTTAGTAGCATTTGCTATAGGTGTTGTATGGAGTATATAGAACATATTATGCATTTATTATTGTACTTATGTGAACGTATCGCCACGCCGCGCCGTGAAACCCCGCCATGACAACTATGGATGTGTCTATATATATCATGTCCAATAATTTTAATATTCATCTCAATGTGTCCCCAGTAGCAGCAGCATTTTTTATATGTCCTGCGCTGCTTTTACACAGATCCCTCTTAACATAGTAAATACATGAACTAAAAGTAATGTTTCATCCAATATGTTGGCAGTAATTTACTACTACCGAACTAACGCAGCAAGAGTCAAAGCCTTTACAACAACAACCAAGCCTTGGTCCCAAAAGATTTTGGGGAAGAGTCAAAGCCGGGGTTTTGTCAAAAATATT